TATCGACTTCAAAAAAGAAATATTTCATGTATTACATAAGCTAATAAAGCCAATTGCTTCAAGGTGCATACTAGCAGTGACCTTTTACAAAATTATATGTATTTAAATAGTATCATAAACATAATAATTATCCAAAACTCTCCATCACTAAATTCCAATAAATCAAGTTTACTTTGGAGCACCATTTCAATTGCATCACCAGAATTTCCTACAGATACAAAATGAAATCAAAAGTTAGATAGAACTAATATGCAAGTGTAAACTCAAGTGAGAAGATTTCACCCACATTTTCACCTATCAACACAATACTGTCAACGGAGAAAAGGACATAGTTAAAGAAGGAGATAATAGATAAGGGACATACAGAAACAAGTATTAAACACATTTCTTATGCTAATAGCCAATTGAAATTTAGAGAAATGTTTTGGTAGATTTCAGCGAACAGTGGATGTAGAATACTTTGCAGCACCCCAGATGAGTACCTTTGTACAATCATATTAAGTTGGCCTCGTCATTTAGGAGGATTACATTTTTAATTGCAAGCGTATGACAGAATATGTAATTAAAACTATCCGACTTAGCATACTCCTCATCAGGAAATATGTTTAAAAACTATCTCTTTTGCATAACTCATAGATTTTTTATGTTCTTTATACAAGAAAAATAATTCATTTGATTTCACAGTAGTATATATTTCACAATTTCAGGTTCCATAATAGTACATATTTCAGAATTCTACTGGCTTGAAACCTAAACTAACGCCTTTTAGACAATTGCATGCTTGGATGGAAGCATATCGGCTTAACTAACCTTGTAGAGTATATTTCTCTTCTCAGCACCTCTCAAATTACTTTTGTCCATGTGCGTCTCTTCTTCATGTGGATGCAGAACCAACAACCTAAAATCAAAGTATAGAATGCAGTCCAACAACATTATGGAACATTGATCAAAGAACCAAGATGGTAATTGTGCAAAAAAAATAACAGAAATAGTTTGAAATTTAGTACAATTATAAGTTTGTAGGTATTAAACAGACCTTTTTCTTCTAAAAGTTTGGACAAGAATACTTTAGTTTGTTCATAATTATTCTGCAGAAACAGTATGCTGAAATACTGTGCAGGATCGCTGCAAAAATATTGTACAGAAATACAGAAAGAAGACTATGAGACAGAAGATTATACCTAAAAATGAAACATTGAGGTGGTGAAAAAGCAATAAAGTTGTTGTATGAATGTTATTATTTCCTCCGGTAAAATTCCATATAAAGGAAACAAATCTAAACTAATACAAATCAACTTGGAAGGGGAAAAAGTAACAATAGTGAAAACTAATTTCAAACGCCGGGAATTCCATTTTAGATAATCATTCCAATATGTAATATGCCTAATACACACAAAGAACCTACTGTAGCAAATGATTGGGGTGATACCTATTTGACTAAGGTAAATATAAAAATTGTGTAGGCTAGCAACTTTGAGAAGAAACGGCACAAATAAATATTCAGAAACATGCTAGTAGTAAGACAAAGCATATCCAAATATAACTACAGTCCAACAGAACTACCGCAACATATCAATGTAGAAGAAGGTGAAAGTTACCTTTCATTGGCACAAGAAAATCTGAATCAAGAACAAACGACTCGTCTTCTTCTGGCAACGAAAAGGGAAAAACAAAGCAACTAAAGTAAGACATTCGATCTAACAATACCTTGCAGTTCTGATTAACCTAATCCCTAAGATATCACCATTGCCCCGTTTAAATCTCGACGTTTGCATAAAACTTTAGTCTAGCATTAGTTATAAATGAAAATTCAGTAGTTATCCAATTCAACAAATATTAGAAATCTATGAAACTACAGGAAGCTCCTTTTCAAATTTAACCCATGAGAAAGTGAATCACCCTTTGGCCAGAGTAGGTAACTGACGACATGTGCAGATTTTTCCTATTTTGGTAAACAACAAAATCTTTTATTGCACAGTTTTTGTGGAACGTCATCAACAAAAGTTATGCGTCTTTTTAAAATTCTACGTTTTGATGTCTATTTTCTGCAGTTTGATATTTTAATTTTACTATTTAGAACTCTTGCACCTTATCATTAACTTGAAATTTGACTCACAGATGCACGAGGTTACACAGTCTTTGTAACAATTGACAACATAAGACAAATTATAAGTGTAGGCCGCATAAAAATATACTCATGTTGGTTTTGCAGTGGAAGTACCTAAAAGAAAGTTAACACTGACCTGCCTAGCACCTTTTTGTTGGAATATCTTTTGAATGGAAGAGAGCACCCTTTTATCCCAATTAGTAGAACAAAATCCTACAGAAGTAAAAGTATCAGTACCTATCCCTATGTTGATTAAAGAATTTTCATAATGACCCGACAAAATAGAAACAAAAACCAAAAGTCACACTCTAATAACATAGTAGCAGCAACAAAAAGCTCACTCAAAAACTTCTATTAGTCTAATTTGATATTGAGCATCTTTAGTCATTGTTTTAATTTAGCTACAATCTTAGACATATTTGGTGGGACTACATATTAAAATATCTGGCCGTACACTATATTGTTGTTTATGCCAACCAAGAAAAGGTCAATAATATACTTGTAGTCCATGTTATTTTAGAGAAAAAATTTAAGTACAGCCCGTAAGGGCTAAATACTCCTTTCACCTCTCAAGGAAAGTTTATTTGGAGGACTATCTAAGTTTGCGGGTTTTATTTACATATCATAGGCACCTTAGTGAAGGCTTGGCATATATTATGACAGCATGGATAATAAAATGCTAGTAGCAGCAATGGCAAATTAAATATGAACATGTTTGGAATAGTAAAATTGTGGCGCTCAAGAACAACACAAAACTCACCTGGGAGAACTGAAAGATCCTGAAAGCATGTAGTTCAGAGAAAATTGAAGAAAGAATAACCTAAAAGTAAATCATGCTGAAGCGCATATGAATGAAGTGATAAAAATGATGATTCCCAATGACCATCCCAGAAACAACAATCGACTAAAAAACAATCAAGTGGAGAGAACAAGTAGAGTGAACAGAGAAACGTACCTGAGAGAAGAGAAATTTTGAGATGGCAAACTTTAGAATCTGGTAGATTGGTAGGAGAAAATTTATCAAACCAGTTACTCCCGAGGTGTAAAATTAGGAATTCACGTGCTAAGCCTCCAATATATGCAGCCGAGTCTCGAAATATTGAACTACTCTGAAATTAGCTGATATAGACTGCTGAAACGTTGAAAAATAATTTAGCCCCATAGCTATTTAAGCTTTCTTCTCCCTAAATTGTTAAGCATTAATACGGCCGAAAGTTTTGAAGTACTATCCTTTGCTGTCAATATTCGAAATACAAATCAAAGTGGAAACGAACTGCAGAAGCTTGCAAAATATTAGAAGTATGAAAGACAGTAAGAGAATCTAAATCAAAGTGAAAAAGGACCAAATAAATGCGCAGAAAATAGTGATGACAGGACCAAGAAAGCATGTTATAGTAAAAATAATAATGACCCGCACTAGTTAAATTAGAGTTGAGACTTTCTTTACACCTTAGATAACTACTCAATGAACAATCAATTCCTGAAGTAGCTTACATAAACTGTAGACATAGAACTGGGGTTCTTAGTTGCCAAGTGTACATGGATAGGCCAAGACATGATGCCAAACTCGAGATCAAGGATTCTTAGCTACAAAATTTATAATTAATAGTAGTTGCAACCCCACTTTCTCAATCAAATAAAGAAAAATTAATGGAGCAGAGAGTAGCATATATGACCGAGGTTCGAATAAAAGTTTATGTACCTTTGTGAGCTCTCCTAATCTCTGACTTCTTGAGTATTGCATACCCAAATATTATCTTAGATGTAAATGGTGGATTGGTGGGTTTATCACCTTTTCTATTAAGTTTTGTCAATCAGTATCCCATACTCTACTATCTTTCCGAGAACTAATATTTTTCCGACAATTAAAAAACAGACAGTAACTAAAAAATAAACGAAGCTTTTTGCCATACTTATAGGCAAATGTGTGGGAATTATATACATTTAGGTCTCATCCAGCAACATTCAAACAAATCAGTCTAATCATACTCACCAAGTTATTCTTCAAACGGTATCAAATCAAGAATTCAAGTACACAAGCACAACATTGGACCAAATAAGCACTCAAAATGAGATGAACTCTAATTTATCAAAATGTAACAGGAAAAGACACTCAACCACTTAAGCTTCACCAAATGTCTAGAACCAAAGATGCGCCATATTAACTCATCACCACAATAGCGTAAAAATAAATTAAAACTTCAAATTATACCAACAAGAGAAAAAGGAAAGTGTCAACAAGTTATAAATGAATCATGAACTTCTGCTCGCGATCGACCTAGAATGAAAGAAAATGTAGTAGAGGTAAAGGCATCACATGAAGGTTAATGAAACAAAAGCCATGCATTTTTGGCATCAC